TGCATGCCAATGGCAACGAGCCTATTGATTTCGCTGTCAACTCATTGCTCAGCCCCGGTCGCATCACTTGATCTACTCCTTTCTCAACAATGTCATCATCATCACCGTCATCATCATTACCATCATCATTAACATCATAATCATCAAAGAACATAACCATATTCACAAACGGCAGAACACAATAGTAAATACTGGTGCTTACCGTCATGCCCTCGGTTTTGGCCGCATTATCAATGCCTAAGTTTGCAAGAGTACTTCGGCATGATGTGCATTTTTGGCTTCGTTGGTACCAACTTAAACCTTCCAGCTGATACAGAGCAATCAGATCGATAATCACTGACTTCTATCTGTCCATCATTCTCGCTTCCCCCTGTCGACGTATTCGATAACTGCGCACGGAAACTGCCATTGGCGTTTATTGCATCTCCTACCTTCAACCAGGACGGTGACTTCTGTAAATGTGACCTGACGCCGTAGCCCCCAATTTGCACACACCTTCTGCGCATGCGAAAACCTTGGGCATTCCAGATGCTGTTTGGAAGTTGTCCGCACACACCAACTTTAATATCTCACCTCCGGTTGCACCACTAACAGAAGAACGACCAAAGTCAACTGAAGTTCCAATGATAAGCCTCCTCGGGCTCGCAGTCCGCAAACGGTTATTTGTGTTCGCCGACAATGCTTACGTAATTCCATTCTACAAACAGGCTACCCGAAAACACCAACTAGCGCTGCTATTCGACCTGATCTATTCATAAGACTTACAACCATGTACATGTTTCTTTGGAAGTGGGTGAGTAGATATAAAAGAAATTCACTCTACAAAGCTCCGCTTACTCACCGGTTGAAGAAGCGCTGGTACATCCATTTTGACGACATAAGTGGTGCCACTTTTAAGCGGACAGGTCGGTTTCATTTTGCCACACATGTCCTTCGAATTAGACCAGCTCCTCCAATCAGACCAAAAGCGGCGCACGAAATGCACTTGATAGCCAATAAGTGTTTCGGAATCTATTGCTGAAATCGGAGGAGGAACGGTCAAGATTACTGAGTTCTACCGTCTCGTTTTCTGCAGGCTTTGCAAATTTCAAGTGAGCAAACAAAATTGAACGCATTCCGATACCACCCGGATTGTCTGATTTTCGAACCATTTGTAGATTGAGCCGAATTTGTCAGCAAAACCAAGTTACGTTCCGGGGACGCCTTTCGATGTGTCGAGCACACCACTCAGATCGGTGAAGCATGAACTTGTTCGCCTGTTCAGTTGTTTGAAGATCAGGAGCGTCCAGCGTGTGCCAGTTGAACAGCGAAGACACGTCCGTCTCGCTCGTCGGATGCGCGGAATTCAAGCTCCGGAATGCCTGAGCTGCGAATGAGTGCAACCCGATACCAGTGCTCATCCCATTTGGTGTGCAAGGGTCGAGGACGACTGGTCAAACGAGAATGATGTGAGTATGTATTCTACAAACCCCGCAACTGCCCACAACAAATGGCAAACTTACCATGGTAGCTCACATTGTAACTCGACAGCATTATGCGTTTTCAGTTTCAAACTTTTGTCACAGCACTGGTCGACCGGTGCGAAATAATTCGCCAGATATTCTGCCGAAGTGAAGTTCGCCATCTCCATACACATGGTGAGCAACTGGTCGGTCCGAAAGTCCAGTGAAACTACCACCCAGTGAGCGGGCTTATGAGGAAATACATTCGCTATTTACGTTCCATAAGAGATGGTAAAACGAAGCAAGGGATGCGCGCACTTCGTATCGCTTTGCCACTGTTTAATTACCGATTGTAAGAAAAATGGCTTGTTGTGGTGTGACCAGACCATCCAGGGAGTAGTCTTGTGCCAGGTCGTCACTGATGACATAATCAGTGACAAATCGAATTTCTTTGGGAGTCACGGGCACAACTGACTCCAATCGACCGATAGGAGCAGCCTCGGCGAACTTCAGTACATATGAGTTTCAATCACCTCGGGGAATGGTAACTACTGAGGTCAAGTCCATCTGATAAACTCCTTCCAACAGTCATCCACCAGTGGATAGATTCGGTGACCAAGGATTGGGTAAATTTGACAGGTTTTGAGATACTAACTATTTTTGGATCCAAAAACATGAGTGCCCCTTCCTTCGAACAATGGGAACCCATTTGTTCCACTCGACACGTAACTCGCTGTGTAGTCACATGTTGACTGATAAACAAAATGGTCCGGGTTCCTGGATGAGAGGTAGCGTAAGCCCTTCAGTTTGCCCAAGAAGTCCCTATTTCGCAATGTCTTATCTCATTTGTACCGCTCAATAGATTACATTATCAG